AGGAGTGGGGAGGGAATGGGGATTTTGCAGTATCCTTCCCCAGGAGTGGGGAGGGAATGGGGATTTTACGGTATCCTTCCCCAGCCACACCCACCAAGCTACGCCCACAGAACCGGTGGCGGAAAAAAAATTGAATCCCACCACTGTCCTATAGGGAAGTAAAAAGTTCAGAAGGACGAAGGAGCCCGGGGTCTGCTACCTTGAAGAGATTTGGGGTGCTCTGTCGGAAGATGTCAAGGTTCTCGGTAAAGAATCCAACATTCTGCCGGCAGAACTGGAGAAATTCGTAAGCCAGCATGAGGTTGTGGAAAAGCTGGGCAGGGACTTTGGTGAAGAGATGGCGGTAAACGGCTTCGGAGTCCACAGCTGCTGTCTCACCTGGTTGACGGAGAAATGGTTTAAACACCTACACGGTTCGAGGATGAATTACAAAGAAGAGCAACTAAGACGATTAAAGGCCTGGAGACAAAAAAAAAACATATGAAGAACGGCTGCAGGGATTTGATTATGCCCTGTATAATGAAAAGAAGGATCAGGGGAGACACGATAGCAGTGCTACAATATCTCAGGGGCTGCGCCAAAGAAGAAGGGGGTCAACTGGTTCTCCAGAGCACCAGAAGGCAGGATAAGATGGAGACGAATCAGGGAGGGTGGACCTCTCAGACAGGGCGGTCAAGACAGACCTAGGGAGAAACCATAAGAAGAACGGTTGCAGGAACTGGGTAGGTCTAGTTTAATGAAAAGAAGGACTAGGGGAGACATGATAGCAGTCTTCCAATATCTCAGGGACTGCCCCAAAGAAGAGGGAGTCAAGCTATTCTCCAAAGCACCTGAGGGCAGGACAAGAAGCAATGGGTGGAAACTAATCTAGGAAAGAAGCAACTTAGAAATGAGAAATTTCCGGATAGTGAGAACAATTGATCAGTGGAACAACTTGCCTCCAGAGTTGTGAATGCTCCATCGCTGGAAGTTTTTAAGAGGAGATTGGATAACCCTTTGTCTGAAGTGATGTAGGGTTTCCTGCCTAGGCAGGGGGTTGGACTAGAAGACCTCCAAGGTCCCTTCCAACTCTGTTATTCTATTCTATTCCATTCTATTCTAAACTCTTATTCTATTCTATTCTGTTCTAAACTCTTATTCTATTCCATTCTAAACTCTTATTCTATTCTATTCTAAACTCATTCTATTCTATTCTAAACTCTTATTCTATTCTCTTCTCTTCTAAACTCTTATTCTATTCTATTCTAAATTCATTCTAAATTCATTCTATTCTATTCTATTCCATTCTAAACTCTTATTCTATTCTATTCCATTCCAAGCAAAGGATGGAAACAAATCAAGGAGAGAAGCAACTTAGAAATGAGAAATTTCCGGATAGTGAGAACAATTGATCAGTGGAACAACTTGCCTGCAAAAGTTGTGAATGCTCCAACACTGGAGGCTTTTAGCAATAGCAATAGCACTAAGGCTTATATCCTGCTTCGCAGTGTGTCAGCCTCTGCTTTCCAGCCCTCTCTAAGTGGTTTACAGAGTCAGCCTCCTGCCCCCAACAATCTGGGTCCTCATTTTACCCACCTCGGAAGGATGGAAGGCTGAATTAACCTGATGCCTAGTGAGACTCGAACTGCCAAATTGCAGTCAGCTGGCAGTCAGCAGAAGTAGCCTGCAGTACTGCATTCTAACCACTGTGCCACCATCGCCCTTCCTTCCTTCCTTCCCACTTAGCACTTAGACTTATATATCGCTTCACAGTCCTTCCTTCCTTCCCTTCCTTCCTTTCTTCCTTCCTGCCTGCCTGCCTTCCTTCCCACTTAACACTTCGACTTATATACCGCTTCACAGTGCTTTACAGCCCCTTCTAAGTGGTTTACAGAGTCAGCTTCTTGCCCCCAACAATCTGGGTCCTCATTTTACCCACCTCGGAAGGACGGAAGGCTGAGTCGACCTGTGGCCTGGTGAGATTTCAACTGCCAAATTGCAGGCAGCCCGTAGGCAGCAGAAATAGCCTGCAGTACTGCACTCCAACCACTGCGCCACCAAGGCTCTTTAAGAAGACACTGACAGCCATTTGTCCGAAATATTATAGGAGCTTCTGGTTTGAGCAGGGGGTTGGACTAGAAGACCTCCAAGGTCCCTCCCAACTCGATCCTGATTGAAATTGAACCCACAAGCACCTGCCAAAGCTGATTGCCAGGCGGGGGTGACCTGAAAGTCCCCCCCCCTCTCTTCTTCTTCGCAGCACACGCCCCTCCCCTCCCCTGGCAAAGTATTAAATCGCACGTGGAATTTTTAAACCCCCGTTATAAGAACTGAACCATTACAAAAAAAAAGAGAGAGAAAGAGGTCAAATATTTTTGCGAGAAAATATTTTAAGAAGGAAGTCCCCTGACCGCAAACATCCCACCTTCCTGACTCACTGTGATTTAGGAAAAACTGGGCGATGGGAATCAGCAGGCGGGCACCGGAAGGATCCCCGCTGATGCGTCCGTGGAGGTTTTTCAGGCAGGAGAGGGAGCGGTAAACGTAAGAAGAGTCTTGCTGGCAGATGATGTCCATAATGGTGATTGCTTCGACGAGACACTGGAGGAGAAAAGAGCTCGAAAGTCCCTGCTTTGTCCAGTTCTTGGTTCCTGCTAAAACCAGGGTTCCATTCCTTTGCGATACTTACGGCTTTTTGTAGCTCCCCATCTGTTTTCTTCAGAGCCCCTGAGGGACAAAATAAATGAACTGTGTTCAGACTCCTAGCTGGAATGGGGGGGGGGGGTGTTGTGGCCTGTCGGCCGCTAGGCACTCCGTATGGGGAGGGGGCGTGGGAGTCAGGGTCAGCATCAAGGCAACCTGAGAGCTCCGAGGTGGAAGGAGGAATGGAGCTAGAAGAGAGAGAGGGGGAGCCTGGGCTGTCCGTCAGCCCTCGGGTGGAGAGTGAACAGCCCCCAGGTCTGGAGGTGGCTGGGGCCACTGCCAGATGCACAGAAGGCAGAGGAGAGGAGAGCAGTGGAAATCTATGGGCTGGTGCTTGGGACAGAAGAGCCACCGCTGCTAGCGAAACCCCACCCTAGCTCTGGGGATAAAAGGCAGGGGGTGGAGATGAATAGATGTGACAGAGGAAAGGAGAGCAATGGAAATATATGGGCTGGTCCTTGGGACAGAAGAGCCATCGCTGCTAGCGAAGCCCCCACCCCTTTTCTCTGGGGATAAAAGGCAGTAGGCGGAGATGAATAGGTGTGGCAGAGGAGAGGAGAGCAGTGGAAATCTATGGGCTGGTCCTTGGGACAGAAGAGCCACCGCTGCTAGCGAAGCCCCACCCTAGCTCTGGGGACAAAAGGCAGGGGGCGGAGATGAATAGGTGTGCATAAGACAGAGGGGAGAGGAGAACAGTGGAAATCTATGGGCTGGTCCTTGGGACAGAAGAGCCATCGCTGCTAGCAAAGCCCCCACCCCCTTTCTCTGGGGATAAAAGGCAGGGGGCAAAGATGAATAGGTGTGCAGAAGACAGAGGGGAGAGGAGAGCAGTGGAAATCTATGGGCTGGTCCTTGGGACGGAAGAGCCACCGCTGCTAGTGAAGCCCCACCCTAGCTCTGGGGATAAAGGCAGGGGAGGGGGAGGTGAGAGGAATAGGAGTGGCAGAAAATCAGCTGGCTGGTGGGAAGTGCACACCCATGCGAGGTGGAGCTGAGCTGGGTGATGGCTTGTGTGCCCCACAGAGAGGCCTGTGGCACACATACCACAGGTTCGCCATCATGGGCCTGGGACAAGGGCTACACTCACGGCGATTGCTCTGCTCCAGAAGCCGCTGGCAGTACTCAAAAGCCTTTTCTCTCAAGCGTTCCCTTGGAGAAAGGAGGCGACTTGAGGTGGATGTGACGGAGACCATCGACACGAGAGAGCCATCCACCTCCGACTTGTCGTCTGTAAGGAAAGAGACGAGTGTCAACCCTGAAGCTGACCTGACCGAAGCCATCTTGGGAGCTTCAGTGTTGCCACACTGGAGATGAGGGACAGGGAGAGAGGGAGGCGGGGGGGGGGGGAATGAAGGAGAGAGAGAAGGAGGGAGAGGGAGAGAACGAGGGGGGGGGGGGGGTAGGATTTGCGATAGTTGGGACTTTGTAGCCAAAACAAAATACTTTTCTCTTGGGAACCAAGGACATAAGAGGCGAGGTGGTGCAGTGGTCAGAGTGCGGTACTGCAGGCTACTTCAGCTGACTGCTAGCTGCAGTTTGGCAGATCAAATCTCACCAACTCAAGGTGGACTCAACCTCCCATCCTTCTGAAGTGGGTAAAATGAGGAGCCAGACTATTGGGGGCAAAAGGCTGACTCCGTAAACCGCTTAGAGAGAGCTGTAAAAGCACTATGAAGTGATATTTAAGTTGTGACATGCCTTGGGAATTGCAAATACATTTTTGGCTACTTTAATATCATTTAGATGTGTTTGGTTAAGTAACTACGCAAATATCATCACTTTTTAACCTTTTGTTTGTTTCATGTCTAGTCTCTTCTTAAAAACCTCCAGTGTTTTTAAGATAAGCCAGATGGATTTTGTCTTTCAGTTCCCAGAAATTTTGCCAGACAGACAGCCTTTCAATAGGAAGGCCCATCATTTCTTGGAACCCAAGAGCCCAAAAATGCTTCTATGGATTTGGAAATTCCAATTCCTCTTCCACACAAAGGAAAAAAAAACTCACCTGAATTTGGATTGCTTGTTGTGTCACTCCTGTAACACAAGAGCCACTTCCTCAGCATGGAAAAAGCCTGCATGTTGAGCCATTGGTCCTCTGTGTAATTCTGGCCCACCGACAGCACGGTGAAAAAGTCGGTGGCCACTGTGCCATCCACCTCGGTGATGGGGCCAGGCTGGGAGAAAAGACAAAAGGCAGAATAAGTGGTAAGAATTGGGGGGAGGGGGACGGAAAAGTAACTCCAGATTTACACGTGAGGAGTCCCGATGATTTATCAAAGGGGCAGTGGTGGGTTTCAAAAATTGTTCGAACCTACTCTGTGGGGTGTGTGGCCTCCTTTGTGGGAGTGGCTTGCTGCCCATGTGACCGGATGGGAGTGGTTTGCCGCCCATGTGACCGGATATGAAGAGGCCGACTCGTCCACCACCCTAACTTGGCAACTTTAACTCTGATGGACTTCAACTCCCAGCATTCCTAAGCCAGCCATGCCGGATCCTGGAATCCTGGGAGTTGAAGTCCACAGGCCATAAAGCGTGGGGCCGAATACCTGTTTTCCTCTTGGATTGAAAAAGCCACCTGATGCCGGGGTGGCTCCTTGCTGAAGGCTGGCGTACCTCAGCCAATCCACCATCCTTTTGCTGATCAGGTTGATCTGGTCTAGAGATGCAAAAGAAAGACTCAAGTAAAAAGACTGCAGGTGGTATTTGCAACACTAATGTGTTGAGTTGTCTGTTTTGTTTTGTTTTTTTGAATCAGATACCGTATTTTTCAGACCGGTGTATAAGACGCACCAAGATTTCGAAGAGGTAAGTAAGTAAAAAACGTTTTTGCCCTCTCCTGCCCGCAGAAGCACTCTGCAGGTTTCAGCAGGGCTGGGGGAAGACAAAAATGCCCCCGTTTTTGCAGAAAATGGCCTGTTTTTCACAAAAACGGAGGCATTTTTGCCTTCCCCCAGCCCTGCTGAAGCCTGCAGAGTGCTCCTGGAGGCTGGGGGAAGGAAGAAATGGCTTCATTTTTGCCCAAAACAGCCAATTTTCCGCAAAAATAGGACGCAGGGGAGGAGCTTTGGGAAGCCAAAAAGGGCTGTATTCGGTATATAAGATGCACCAACATTTCCACGCTCTTTTAGGAGGAGGGGGAATGTGCATCTTATACTCCAAAAAATACGGTAATTCTTAGCCCAAGCATCCCAGTCAATAGCAGTTAGACTTATATACCGCTTCATAGGGCTTTCAGCCCTCTCTAAGCGGTTTACAGAGTCAGCATATCGCCCCCACAGTCTGGGTCCTCAT